CAGATACTGAAATATAATGTTAGAGTTGGCAACATCATAGTAAACAATTTAAGAACTAGGTTATGTCTTGTTACCTAAGTGATGTTTACTGTTATGTGTAACTACAGTTACGTGTGTAACAACAGTATATTTATATTGTTAAGTGTTACTATGGTTATAAGCCTGTATGTGTATATAAGGCCTACTTCTGTATCAAATAGCTCAGTCTTAATAAAGCAGGAGTAGAGTGAACACTGATTCTCACTTATCATTCGATCCACGTGAAGTAACAAAAATAACATTTTGTGCCGGGACAGAAGGTTCGGGTCTTCAGGCATACAGCGGTGTCATGTGTTAAATGATTATATCAGTTCCATTATTAGAATTATTTTATAATTATCTTAGTATATTATTATATGATTATATTATTTATTACATTATTATTTTTATTATTATTATTTATTGTATTGTAAAGTATCTGACTTGTCCTATATCATTTATAATGATCCATGGATATGAAATAATTAAATAAGCCATAAACATGACCTCCATATACTGAATGTTAACCTCATTAGTTACTGGAAATATGCTATGCAGGGATCAAGTTATGTACTACTCTTCAATCTAACACAAAATGTTTGAATCATGATGTATAAGTATTTAAGCCACCACTAAAAGACGATTTCTTATCTCACTCCTGCTACCCTGTACAAAAATTTACTTAACCTGAATGTAAATTTTTATAAAGGCACTTCTTGACATATAAGTATTCCTCAATTTATAAAACAGTTGTGTTCCAAAAAATCATCACAGAAGGTGAAACTGCACGAAGTGAACATAATTTTCTCTTCTGTCTTCAAATTACCCTTCTGGAATCCCACAAAATCATCTACACATTTGCCCTGCCTCTCTCAATTGGTCAGCAAGCAGTCTGCAATAAAGTCGATGCTACTAATCGAAATCAGTCTAAATTAGCTGACTGCATTACAATGAAATTGTATTTTCTGAACTCACATACAATAAGGAGTACCTGTAGCCACTTTGGTCATATTTCATAAAATAAAATGGTTGTAAACAACTGTACCAACCAACTAACTGCATTAAGAATGCTATTCTTAATATATTCATAATAGAAATTAGCACCCAAAAGTAACTGTTTGCAACAAGACCGATGAAAAGTAGAAAAGTCCTTGCAATACTCTTGAAAAGCGACTCTAGTAAAACAGTTAGGGAAATGTTGCTACAAAGCACCTGCAGAATATAAATAAATTCCTACTTCTACTTCTCATCCTGCTGAAGTATTTACTTTAGTTGGAAATTCTACATATTGTAAATAGAAACAAAGGAAATATGTCCTTGGCATAATTATTGTATTTTGTAAAACATAACATTCTTACAAGTTTTTGTAAATTGCTGTAACTGTGTATTTATGTTTAGGAGCCGGGTTAGCTCAGTAGATATAGGGACTGACTATGGTTTGGGCAGCCGACAGATCGGAACTCGAGTCCTGTAGGGGCAAGTTTTTCTTTCCTCTACATGTCATCAAGCTCAACTCCAGGGCCCACCCCGCCCACTACTGAATAGGTACTGGGGAGGCTCATTCCCGGGGGCATGAAGCTGACCACTCATCTCTAACTAGTGTCGTGGAATACGTGGATTTACACATCCACTCCCCCATGCATCATCATTGCGTAATGCTTTATTAGTCAAGCATGCAGAAAACTTAACTTTTACCGTACACATTTGACACAGGCATTGCGTACTGTACTCATATTATGATATTCTGCATCCCTTGCTTACTACCATGAAGAATACGTATAATGTGAATAAAATTTATTCTGATGACTGACACGTGTACAGTTGGGTTATGCTGCTTATACAGATGCAATTCTGGTGCGGCATATTTTATAAAAGATGTAACATACAAAGTTCATGTCACTTAAGCATTAATTTCGTATGATTTCACTGATATAATCGAGTAACGAAAAAAGCATTCATTTAGGCCTTTACTTGCGACCTGCAAACTCTACAATTAAAAGGCATGCTGCACACGGCATAACTTACGAAAATAATTAACTTTACCTCCTCTATAACAAACTTCAAATGTTTTGTTAACATATCATTCTTTATTGTTTCCAAAGCCTTCTGTTCACTGAGGCCAACAGTTATGAACAGCTTAATTACATCATCGTGAATATTCATATTTAATGCTCCAAATAACCTAGCATCCCATTCAACTCACACACAACGCACACAAACGCACTGAACATACACTTATGGCACTTATGTTGTGCGACCTACGCGCCCTACGCGCCACCCCACGGCCGGTGCAGGAAGTACGGTCACAGTAAAGCAGCTAGATCACGTGGATCACGGGTGCGTTGCAGTAGCCAGTTAGCTTGATGTGCCCAGCAAAGTAGACATGGCAGAAACAGTATGCGCAGAACACAACTACGCATGTTTAAATCTATTGTGACATGTTGCGCAAAGCCGAGCCCCCCCCCCACACCAGCAGTGACGCGGTGGGTGAGTCAGCGCTTCCCTCCCTCCCCTCAGCGGTAACGTAACGCTCGCGTAAGGCTAATGTCACACGAGCGCTGAAAACAGCGGACGCGGCTCTTCCGTCGAAATCCGCGGACGTGAAGCAGGTTGCCACACGAGCGCTATATTCCACGTCTTCCACGTATTGCCAAGTCAGTCTTTGGGGAGGCTTCATGCTGCGAACACGGATTTTATTGACATTAGCCTGTAATACTCTGTAACAAATTTCCCCGAGCATTGGAGACGAGTGTTGATTTTCAAGATGACATTGTTAAAGGCTGCCGTGTATTGCATAACTTCGTTCGTGATCGCGATGGATTTCAGTTGGAAGATACTTTGAATGTTGTAGGATTTGAAGACACTGAATTGGAAATTGACACTGTTGGAAGTCGAGCAAATGTGCAGAGAATTCGAGATACCTTAGCTGATTATTTTGTTAGCAATATTGGGCAAGTACCTTGGCAGTACACAGCGACAGGAAAGAAAACGTTTACTGAACATTAATGGCTTAAAAGTAAAAATGGTATTTCGTATAATGTAATAAGTAGTATTTTGTGATATGTCGCCTGAAAGCCGGAATAATCTACTGCTAGGTAACAGCCAGATAAACACGCAGTCGCGAAAACATTCTGGTCAACACTCCGTTGCTAGAGAATGACTCAGCATTACTGGTTGCTAGGGAATCGATG